TACAGTACGTCATAGTTACTTCATTGGAGCGAAGACATACTTGATTCTCTCCTATATTTGCCTAACTTGGTGGTCTGTTGGAATCATTGAATTTCTTCTGGCTCCCGAGTGACTTCAGCTCACAAACAGGAAACTTTTCTATGTCAGACACATGATTCCTATAAGTTGACGCCCTACACCGCTGTTGACTGGTACCGCAAGTTCATTCGCACTTACGGTAAGACGCATTTTCCCTGACTTACGAGACCAGGGACTTGTAATCCTCGAGACTCGTAATGATGAGATGACTGTCATGCAACACTGCTTTAGGCTTTTACTGCAAACGATCACTTTTTATAGCCATCACTTTCGCAGTGGATTTACCCAAGCAGCTGATTGAGTGGATGTTGCAAGACTTCTTCATTTGTATATGTAGCTATATACAAGAAGCACAAAATGCACAAACAGGTCATTGGGTAGTCCAACCCCTTTATCAGAGTGTGGTATGCATTCCAGAGCGTTCTCGGTTAACTCCGTTAACTCCTTCCATGATCTCCTGAGCTGACAGTGCTATCTAACATAGGGCTTTCGAGGGTGAAAAATACAGATAAGGCTGACCTCTAAGTCTAGCAGCTGGGCTGGGTCGAAGCTGGATAGCTGTTTCCAGAGGTCACCCTTGAAACCCACGCCGACCACCTTGGCGCACAAGAACCACACCAGGAACACGCGAACGATCACCAGGGCGTACATCAGCTGCGTATTGGAAAGAGTACGCCAGTCCTAAAGAATCTACGAAAAGTAGCGAATAATTCAGTTGCGACTCTATTTTCGGTCTCTCGTTTCACTTTGCTTTTGGTATTACACCTTTCCATAGAAAATTTCATTTCATTTCATTTCATTTTATTATACCCCTCAGGGCCAGAGGCATTACAGAGGGGGAGTGGTAAAAGCACAAAAAGGTAACAAAATAAAAGGAACAAAATATGCAAGTACAATAGAGACGCACTATAAGTTAGAAAGAGCCTGAGTATACAATATTAGCTACAGAATTGCGAAAATGTTTACAGTTATTAATGTTTACAATGTCAGCGGGAAGGCCATTCCAATCACGAGAGGTTCGTGGTAGAAATGATTGATAGAAGTACTCAGTATTACATGAAGCGAATCCAACTTTGTGACGATGATCAGTGCGATGGGATACATAAGATGGTTGAGGGATGAGTCGATCGCGCAGATCAGGATGATGATACATTTTATGAAACAAGGCAATGCGTGACACTTTTCTGCGCAGTGATAATGATGAGAGGGAAAGGTCTGATTTCATAGAAGTTATGCTGGCGGTGCGACTGTAATTAGCGCGAATGAAACGTACAGAGTTGTTCTGAACCATCTCTAGAGCAGTAATTAAGTTGATATGGGTGGGATCCCACACCGATGTAGCATACTCTAATTTCGATCGGATTAGTGTTTTATAGAGCAGGAGTTTCAAGGAGGAAGGAACGTGATAAAAATTTCGACGAAGATAGCCTAACATGCGGTTAGCTTTGTTAATCAAGTGCTCGATATGAGCAGACCAGTTTAGGTTTGCAGTAATGTAAACACCGAGGTATTTATATGAAGTTACTGATTCTAAATGAATGTTATCAATGTGGTATGGTGGTGGACGGGAAGATTTTCTGGAAACACGCATGACTTTACATTTATTAATATTTAGTTGCATTAGCCATTCACTGCACCAGTCTGCGATTGCGCCAAGATCAGACTGAAGTGAGGCAACATCATTAGAGTTCGTTATCTCTCTAAAAACAACACAGTCATCCGCGAATAGGAGAATATTAGAGTTAACAACGGAAGGAAGATCATTAATATAAATTAGGAATAATAAAGGCCCAAGGACTGAACCTTGAGGAACTCCCGAATAGACATCTGTAAACTCTGAGTTAAAGCCATTAAAAGAAACAAATTGTGAGCGGTTTAAAAGGAAGCACTCAATCCATTTAGGTAAATTAATACCAATATTAAGCGTGTTTAGTTTAAGCAGTAGCAATTTATGACAAACCTTGTCGAATGCCTTAGAAAAATCTAAAAATATGCAGTCAATGATCGATGATCGATCTAGTACTTGATGTAGCGCATGAGTAAAGGTTATTAGCTAAGTTTCACATGAGTAATGTTTTCTAAAACCGTGTTGTGCTGAACAGAAAAAAGAGTTGGATTCTAGAAAACCGACAAGGTTAGTGAAAATAATATGCTCAAACATTTTACAACATGTGCTGGTTAAGGAAATGGGGCGATAGTTAAGTGGAGATGTCTTGCTTCCAGACTTGTGAATTGGAATGACCTTCCCAATTTTCCACTCATTTGGAAGAATGGACTGATCAAGAGACTGTTGAAAAAGTTTAGTTAAGATTAACGCAGCGTAGGCCGAAGTGTTTTTCAAGAACTTGTTACTAATATTATCACAGCCGGGAGCTGAATGAAGGCTAAGTCCACCAATGAGCTCAAGAACACCAAGTGTACTGATTAGTATAGGTGGCATACTTTCAAAGGTATGGCTGTTTGTTGTGGGGTTATTAACAGCAGAATGGGCAGAAAAGTTCTCAGCAAATGTACGGTTAAAAACTGAGGCACAGATATCAGATGAAATGGGGTCGCCAGAGGAATCTGTCAGTGTGATAGCGTCATCGGTTGAGGGATTAAAAGTTCGCCAGAATTTCTTAACATTTGTGGTTAACATGGAAGGTAGTACATGGGAATGAAAATGTTTTTTTGCATCTCGAAGGGCTTGAATGTACAACGTAGACGCTGTTGCATATAAAGCCCAACGTTCATTAGAAGGCGAAAGTTTTGCGGCGCGAAAGAAACGCTTTTTCCTGTTTGACAAACGCCGGATATGGCTGTTGTACCAGGGTGCATTTGAGTTGTTGGTTACACTGCGGTGTGGGATGTACTGTTCAGTGAGTTGAATTATTTTATCTGAAAACATATTCCAATTAGTTTGTACACTGCGATCGTCAAAACCGTCAAGAAAAAGATCAGTGAAGGTAGAAAGGTCATTGTTGATTGCCTCAAAGTCACCTCTGTTATAGTCACGAATGATTTTCTTCTTTTTCTTTGTTTTCGGGTGGGCTAAGTTAATGGAAAAATGTAGAAGCAAATGATCGCTAAGACCCGGAAGGTACGTTATGGGCGATATTATATCGGAACTGTTTGTTAGAATTAAGTCTAATGTGTTTGCAGCGTGAGCTACTATTCTGGTTGCTTGTGTACACATTTGCTGTAAGGAAAATACCGAGCAAACGTCTAAAAATTCGCGAGCTTGGGACGAAAGCGGAAATATTAAAGGGGAATGGGAATTCCAGGTTATGTTGGGAAAATTGAAATCACCCAGCAAGAGCAACGGCGATGTAGGGAAACGCGTACTAACAACGTTTATGGCATCTTGAAGTTCGCTACTGAATGTAGGCGAGGGTGAGGGTGGGCGGTAGCATACCCCGATGACTACATTCTGGTGACTAAGCGTTACCACAGCCCATATCATTTCTAGATTAGTATGAACGTGTACAGATGATGATGGGATATCGCTGGAAATAGCCAGAAGTACGCCACCGCCTCTCTGTGTGCCACGGTCGCGACGAAAAAGTGAGAAGCGATGAGCGTTTAAAAATATCTCGGAGTCGCACACTTGCCCGCAGAGCCAAGTTTCAGTTAACGCGATAATTTTAGCGGAGCATGTGTCGATCGCTGATGATAGAGAGTTATACTTGTTAAGAACACTTCTGATATTAGTAAACAGGACCGATATGGAAGCTACAGTCACATGACCACTGCCCCTCGCGCTTTCCTAGGGCTTGGAAGTTGCAGGCGGGGCAATGGTTCGTGTACTACGATTTGGAATGTTGATGATTGCATCACTGTTTGGGTCGTACATGTAGCATTTCTGGTTCAGAAGCAGCTTGTTGTAGCTGAGTTTATGCTTGACGGGGCCTGGTTGACTCTTGGCAAAATCAAGTAGTTTTTTCCGAGCTGCACGTGTAGCGGGTGAAAAATCCTCTGCTACAGTGATGTTATGTTTCTTCAGGTGTATATGTGTCGCGAGTAACGCATCTTTTGTTTTATAGGATAGGCATTTAACTATGATTGGGCGACATTTGCCCTGGCTGAAGGTACCCAAGCGATGCGCGCGTTCAATGGCATCAGAGGAAAGGGGAGAAGAAAGGTGGCAATTGAGAGTGGAAATAACTTTTTCCTCTGTCATTGCCCAGGTTTCTTCAGAATCTGGGATGCCGTAGAAAATGAGGTTGTTGCGTCGCAGTCTGTCATCGTGATCCTGCACGCGTGTTTGCAATGAGCATACCTGAGCGGAAAGCTGATCTGTCTGAGTATGGATGCTACTAACTTCCTGGGTAAGTTCTTCTAGTTTTTTATAATTTTCCTCCAGTACTTCAAGCCGTTTCTGAATAGCAGTGATCTTGGTTTCGATGGATTTCTGTCCAGATTTAATTGCTTTAACATCAGCTGCTAATTCGGTCTGTACCTTCGAACTTTCCAGTGAGCGGGTGTGAACATCTTTGAGCATTTGGAAAATGACCCTCATCTGTTCCGCGGGATCTGCGGGTAGGGATGCTATGTCACCGAGCGTGTCCGAACGCTTGGTAGGGGGCCCGGGGTTGCTCTCAACATCGCCAGCGCGTAGCAGCAAAAAAGGTATGAAAAAACATTCACAAAACACTTCACACAACACCCGTGGACACGGGACCAGTATTAAGCAGAGGTTGTTATTTTTCTTTGCATATAAAGAAACGTTTGCACACACCTGCATTGCAAAAGGGAAGCGATTCAGTGCTTGTACAGAAGCACCGATCCCGTGTCCACTGAATTGGTTTGGGCTGCGCTGGCTTCTTAAACACTTGGTTGAAGTTGATGCTGCTGTCGATCCGGGGGGTTGCTTGAAGACGAGTTCATCAAGAATAGGCAGGGTAGGCATGGGCGCGAAATCACGAGGCGAAAAGATCACCACGTCAGACGCGCCGACGCCTAGATGTTCCAGCGTCGAGGGTAATGAAGGAGCGCATATCACGCCTAAGGATGCACTTGATAAGAAGGGCACGAGGAATGCCAGCTGAACCTGCATTGCAAAAGGGAAGCGATTCAGTGCTTGTACAGAAGCACCGATTCCGTGTCCACTGAATTGGTTTGGGCTGCGCTGGCTTCTTAAACACTTGGTTGAAGTTGATGCTGCTGTCGATCCGGGGGGTTGCTTGAAGACGAGTTCATCAAGAATAGGCAGGGTAGGCATGGGCGCGAAATCACGAGGCGAAAAGATCACCACGTCAGACGCGCCGACGCCTAGATGTTCCAGCGTCGAGGGTAATGAAGGAGCGCATATCACGCCTAAGGATGCACTTGATAAGAAGGGCACGAGGAATGCCAGCTGAACCTGCATTGCAAAAGGGAAGCGATTCAGTGCTTGTACAGAAGCACCGATCCCGTGTCCACTCCAAAAAAATGCACGCGCAGACGCCGTCACTTACCGCACTAATACGCCCAATGCGCGAGCAGGAAGCGACACAGGCGATCGCCCAGGTGGCGGCGCATGCCAGCGCCACATCGGTGTTCAAGTGCAACACGTCGAGGTGGTTGCTCAAGTGGAGCACAAAGTCCCTGCACAAAGGAGACGCTCAGTTGGAAGCGCAAAGGACAAAGCAGCAAAGATTATTGAGACCAGATAACGTACTCTGTCTGGAGAAGTTTTTTACAAACTATGCCCCGGGCGATGCATGCACGAGCAAGATAGCTCACGTTCACATGGACGACGTTCTGCGCACCCTCTCGAGCATTTCTTGACTCGTGTGCATAATATAAGTGTTTTTCAAACTCGAATTGCATATTTATTGGTATTTAATATCGTGTGACTAGCATGACATAGGAGTGCCGGAAGGAATTCTAAATGTGAAGCATGGACCGGACCATCGTGCACTTCCTCGAAGGGAATGAAAGCCGCTTTGCTTGGTCTCTGCTATGGTGTGTCCAATTCTACCACTGTTCATGGTAGAGCATAGTTTTACTAGCTTTCACGTGCCTCTATATGATTATGAAGCATGATGTAGTGGAGCACTCCAGATTAATTTGTGCTGAAGCATGTATGGGACAAAAGCCCGTGGCTGTGTCAACACAAGAGATGCATAAATCATCATATCGTAATGACACAACAATGTGAAGGAATCATGACGTAATAGTGACGTCGTGGTTACGCAATCACATGACATCGTTGCTTGGTCAAACGTGGGGCAATCACATAGGCAGTGCCAAGCAAGGTGTATTGCAGCAAGCTTGGAATGCCTCCGGATTTACGGGCATTGCGAAACCACGTTATGCGCGTTAAACGCTTGGCGAGAGGCTTGGCAGAATCGATATATAAATAGATAGATACATAAATAGATAGATTGACAGACAGACAGGTAGACAGACAGACAGACAGACAGACAGACAGACAGACAGACAGACAGATAGATAGATAGATAGATAGATTAACAGATAGTTTGATAGATAGATAGACAGATAGACAGACAGACAAACAGACAGTCAGATAGATAGGTAGATATAGCTAGATGAATAGATAGATAGATAGACAGACGGATAGATAGATGAATAGAAAGATAGATAGATTAATAGATAGATTGATAGATAGATAGATATATAGAAAGATCGATAGATTAATAGATAGATAGGTAGATAGATAGATACACAGACGGATAGATAGATAGATAGATGAATAGAAAGATAGATAGATTAATAGATAGATTGATAGATAAATAGAAAGATCAATAGATTAATAGATAGATAGGTAGATAGATAGATAGACAGACAGATAGACAGACAGACAGACAGATTGATCGATGAATAGATAGATAGATAGATAGATAGATGGATGGATAAATCAGGCTAACTGCCTTTCGTTGAACACCAAATAAAATGCTATGACAGTTTGTACAATTATGATACCAAAAAAAAGTACTCTCAATTAGGAATTTTTTGATTTCACGTTCTTCATTGTGTTTAAGAATATCGCCAGCACTGCGCTCACCGATGGAAGTGCTCGACGGCGCTGACGGTGGCGACCGTGCAGTTGCGAGCGAACTGGTGTCGTGGCACGAGCACGACGCGGTCACCAATCACCACGGGAACTCCCGGCCGCCGGTCACGTTCCCCGGCCGCCTCGACGCGCAGTGCCAGGGCGCGGTGCACTTGCCGGCATGGTTGGGGCTGTCAACGATAGGGTGAGCGTGAACACGCATGCGAGTGCCGCGAAATGAACGATCACGTTCCGGTGTCTGCTATAGCGGAATGTGCAAAATGTATTGCCATGGGTTGGAGATGCTTGCATGGACTACGTTAGGAGCCAATAATAATGTTAATTTATGTAAATAAATGTTCAGAAGTCCTTCACACCGATAATATTGTTGCGTTTATGTATACAGGGAAGCAATGCGTATTTAAAGTATATTTACACAGCACCGAAACGCAAGCCAAGATGGAGGAAGAAAGCACGCCCAACATACCATCACTGTGCCGCCTTTTTTCGCGGCTCTCTCGCTGCTTCAGTGCAATTGTCTTATAACAATATTCTATAAATTAGATCGGCTTCATCATAGTTTGGCCTACTAAGCATGTACTATCAGCGTCAAATGTAACCAGAACAGCTGCCAGCCTTCGCGAGTTATTGCACGCGGCATTCAGTTGCCACAATTCACAGTCGCATGCCTCTAGTTCAGCAGCTCTGCCAATATGTATCGATGCTTGTCCATGGCGATAAGTGGACGGTGCGCACTATACCATCACGAAGGCTTGCCGCTGTTCATTTCATTTGACGCAGATATTAGAAACACCTTTGAAGGCTAGGTACAAAGTCACTAATTGTAATAACTAGAAATCCCTTTAATGTTTCCATCGATTAGCCCCAAATGAGTTTCCCGGAACTTTTTTTAGACGCCACCTGAAATATTGGAGCCCTCTGGGTCCCGTTTAACGTTAGCTGATCGTATAACGTAACTCCTAAAAATCATAAGGCGTATTGCTGCTGAACTCCATGCTCGGTGTAATTTTGATTTTGTGTCACAGAGGGTAAATATTCGTAATCAGAAAACTGCACTTGTATTTAGGCACGTGCGTCTGCGAGTTGAAGGACTTCAAGTGGTGAGAATGATTCCGCAGCTTCTATCCCTACGGCCTTTCCTTGTCACACAAGTGTTTCGGTTCCGCGAACGATGCCGTCGTTACCTAAATATTGAAAGAAATTATTTTGCTTTCCACTTGCCGTGATAGTCAATGTTAAGTAGTACAGTCTACGAGAGTATTAACGTGAATATGTCAAGAAGTAGAGCGTGAAAGGAACCAGTAGCCCAAGGAGAGAAACCTGGGCCCGTTGATGACAGTTAGTTTTTGATAGTTCAGAGCGCTAAAGGGAGAAAGCCAAAGTACGATTTGTTTGTAGCTGCGATCTTTAAATGTAAGATTGTGGGGATGAATAATGCAAGAAGAGTTATTTGCATGTATTTTAGTTGTTTTGTTTGTTTTCTGACCGCACCCGTATAATATACTCATTCACACATGTGTGGATCACTTGGATTACTATGCTGCATACGCGCAGGCGCTCTATTGAGGTGTGAGTGGCTTTTTGTATTGTATTTGTTCGTGCGGCTCTTTTAAATAGGCCGTAGCTCTCAGTCAGCGCTCATGTAGTCTCCTGCTCGTATTTTACCCTCGTCCCTTTAGTGCTGTAAACTATTGAAAAAAAAAACACGGCTGATGTCTCTGTTATAGAAATCTTTCTCAGATGAAAAAGAAATGTCTCTTTACAGAAGTAATGTTTATTGTGTAGTTATGAAAGTTTGTACAAAGTTTATTGGTATTTGGCAGCCATTTGACAGGTATGCACCCACGTTGTCGCCGAGTGGCACAACTTCATCGTGACGACTAACGCCCATGGCCGAGATTCAACTATTGTGGTAGTTGAGCTTCTCAAGCTACACTTGAGCACACCATATAGTGAATCACGCACAAATATGACATCACAAACACTGGTACAGTCACTTCTTGAAAGCGTCGTCAGGAGAGAAACGGCATGCGTGCGCTCCCGAGCGACGCGGGAACGTACGCCTGCTTTAACTCATATACTACTACACTTCGATTCAGCAAAACCCGAAGCAGATGTTCATAGCTTGAGCCGCGAACGTGAGCAGGCGTTCCACGTCCCGCTGGCCTCCGTCTTGCTTCACCCACGTACCCCATTCATGACCATCGACATGAATGTGGTGCGAATGTGGTCCTCTGCACCACTTACTGCAGCAGTTTTTCAAGGAAAGCCTTCAATGTCTCCTGCTCACGCCCATCCATCTGTCTGTCTGTCCGTCGGCGACTTGTCGTAGTGCCATGGAGCCGCCCAGTTGTGCCAACGGACCCTGGTAGCGTCGGATTCTACAGTGTTCGCATTTTGCTTGCGTAGCCTCTCTGTGCCCAGCCAATGCCTCTTCTAGAAAGATGCTGCGACGTCACATGCTTCCCCATGGAAACGGGAGGTCCCTTGTGTTTCAGTGCTTTCTCCGTGAGGAGCGCTTGCAGCCCATACTACTCTAAACACACTACCTCTGCTGGATTACGAAGTGACGTCATCACAAGGGCATGACTGTGTTGCCTCTGGGACGGCAGTAGACATAGCTTTAATCTAAGAGCCCGCGATGTTTGAAAGGGCCGCCGCAGCAAGCGCTCGCAGCCGAGATTGTTTGGGTCAGCGGAGGAAGAGATAACAGGTGAGGGCCGGGAACCAGCTATTCGGCTCACGTCACAGGCATCTTTCTAGAAGAAGCTCTCGTCCAGCGGGTCACATCATGCAGGAAAAAAGACGCGCGCATTGCGTACTTATCTGACCGGCCCGTCACGATGGGCACATGTCTTCGCTAAAGAGGATTCAGAATTTACAAAATGTCCGTGAATTTTAAATGTGGAGTGTTTCTCAGTCGCACGATGCTGCGCTTCGGCGTCGGCGGTGGCGCCGTCTACACCCCACTGCGCATGCTCGCGTCTCCTGCCGACCCAGGAGAAGACAACCGCAAGAATGTCGCTCCCCTCCCCCTTTGTCGCCGCGCAAGGCTGCCGCAGGCAGCGTCTGCTAGTAAAAAAAAAATGAACAGATTCACGTACAGTGGAAATCGATTATATGCGAAGCACGAATGATTATGATGATGATGATGACGATACGTGAGGTTTAAAATCACAATACCACCATATGATTACGAGAGACGCTGTAGTGGAGGGCTACAGAAATTTTGACCACCTGGGTTGCTTAACGTGCACCCAAATCTGAGCACACGGGCCTACACCATTTCCGCCTCCATCGGAAATGCATCCGCCGCAGCCGGGATTCGAGCCCGCGACCTGCGGAACAGCAGCTCAATATCTTAGCCACTAGACCAACGCGGCGGGGCGAAGCATGAATGAGAAATGTTGATAAGTCACATCAAAATCAGCATAACGTTACGAGGTGGAGGTAAATGATGGTTTACATGACTTCCGTGTCATGATTATCACGTTTGGATGTGCCGCTTACCTTCGTGATCACTTCACGTCACGTGATATCACATTTATCATATGTGGAGCTAGTGAAACGGCTGCGAGCACGCGATGAGCGTGGTATGTAGTCATGTTCATACATGACACCCGTGTAAAGATTATCATGTTTGCGCCCGTCATATATTTTGTCATCCATTGACAACACGTAAAACCAAATTTGGTATATGCGGAGCTAGCAAAACGACCGTGAACGCATCATGAAGGACCCAATATACTCCAATGTAGCGTTGACGCGCGCACACGCTGGGCATAGCGACGCTACGTTAGCAAAACGCGAGCACTCTGTAGTCTGACGCCAGGCGTGACCAGCGTCCGTCGGCGCGGTCTGATGGCAACCGGCGCGAAATGACAGATGCTGCATTTGGCACCGATGTGTTACCCATACAACACTGCGTCTCCCTCTTTTCGTGATGGAGGGACGCTGAACACGGTGAAACGCGCATGCGTCAAAGCAACGCAGCGCGGCGTGCGCCTGTGAGTATATGGCACGACCGGCGCCTGGTGTGGCAATGCCAGCGTGATGCGACGAAATGAACGCCGGCGAGCACGCGCACCGCACCACGTAGAAATTTATTGCCACCTTGACAGTGGCATGTAGTCATGCTCTCACATGACACGCATCTCATGATTATCATGTTTGCACCAGTGACATACCTTCATTATTCAATGGTGTCACGTACTACCAAATTATGCATATGTGAATCTTGCGATATGGCCGCGAGTATATCATCACTGTGGCATGTAGTCATGTTGTTACATGACACGCATGCCGTCATTATAACGTTTGGATGTGTCATTTACCTATGTCGTGAGTTCGCGTCACGTAATACCGAATTTGGTGGATGTGAAGCTATCGAAACGGCCGCGAGCGCATCATGAGTGTAGCTGTAGTCATGATGTGGCATGACACGCATCTTATGTTTATCGTGTTTGAACCAGTATCATACCTTCGTCATCCATTCATGTTCCGTAATACCAAATTTGGTATGAGTGAAACTAGCGAAACGGCCGCCAGCGCATCATGAGCGTGGCACGTAGTTATGTTGTTACATGACACGCATGTCATGACCTTCATGTTAGAGTCTGTCCTTGTGTTCGCCATGCAATTATGCCATACCACTGCCCTGCGAAGGAAACTACCACAAAAGCTGCAGGACCATGAAACGTAAATCACGGCATTCATCACATCCATGTCATGATTTTCATGTTATGACTACTCAAATATACTCTTCATACAGGCATGTCATGTCATACCAAGTTTGGTATCGATACCATTATCGAAACAGCCAGGAGAGCTTAATGTCGTAGAAGGCTAGATAGATAGATAGATAGATGCGCTCAAAGTCGCCTAAGTTCGCTAAGGAATGATTCGCATTTAAAAACACCTGCTCACGGTGCCCAAGCGCTCACTAGCCACCCTGTGCATGTAGGCACTGGATCGCGCGTTCGGAATGCAATAAATGGTGTCCTTACTTGGCTTTCGTTTGACGTTGAAGGCAACGTTTCTCCTTCATTCAATAAATAAAAAAAATAAAGAAGAAATAACAATGAAGCATTATCAAATCATTCCGAATTACGCAACACTCACGCGATACCCCCACCACTCTGTGAGGCATTCACTCGTGTTCCACCCTGTGGGAAGATGCGGGCTGAATTTTTTTATTAATCGATGCTATCGCAGTCGAATAAGTCGGTGGCGAAGCATCTCTGCTGCATGTGGAATCTGCACTACTGAGAAAACGAGCCATCACAGCGCTAACACGAAGCGAAGGGTAAAAAGCCTCACTAAAGTGACTCAACAGCGTCTAGGGCTCTAGGGCGACTGCCCGATGCTAGGTCGGATAATCTTTGTTGCTGCTCGGCTGCGGCGGCTGCATTTCCGATGGAGGCGGAAATGTTGTAGGCCCGTTTGCTCAGATTTGGGTGCACGTTAAAGAACCCCAGGTGGTCAAAATTTCCGGAGTCCTCCACTACGGCGTATGCCGTCGTGGGTGGTGGTGTTGGAAGTTTGTTTCCGGGCAGATGAACCTCTTTAATGGTTTCTTCGTTGTCATTTGGGGAAATCTGTTTTATTAACATCATATTCATGACAACTACATCATTACAGCATTGTACGACCCCGGCATAAAACACATTCGTGTTCAAATCAAGTAACGAAAAGGGTCAGCGCTGACTGCATACTGACGTTCATAGTGATGGACACCAGTGTGAAGTAGATAGATACGAAACATAAGTGTCTTTGTAATAAATACCTGCTGAAAGTCAGTGCGAGTTAATGTTACTTTTTTGCCTCCTGCATGTATTTTTGGCGCTAGTGACGTAACAACAGTATTCCAGCTAGCTTGGTCTAACATATGTCCCCCGTTCATTGAGGAAACTACCGTGAAGCGTTGTTCCACCTTCATTCAAGTGTACCACTTGAACCATCGACTTTTGTAAAACTAAATAGTGGGGACACTGGCGCTGCGATGGTTCAGCGACCATTTCAAGTATGAGTACGACATGAATTGGCCTTCTCTTCGTGCTTGCGGGCTGCGAACCGCACTGGCGGCTTCGTTTTTTATTTCGCTGTGTTTTCGTTTTGTTTCGAAAGAAAGAACAAACCGTTTTATACTTGATAACCCTATTTGAAGTGGTAGGCCTAAAAGACTAGGGTGGTGAAGCGTAGCTGCCGAACGTTTGCCTATTCTTGTTTGGTGACAAAGCAGCTTCAAGCCACGCGAAGCCAGAACGAACGTAAAGTACGAAGACAAGGCGAATCCATGTCGTACCCATAGTTCCCATGCTCGATGAAGGGCCATGCGTTACAGCTCTCTTGACACTAGCGCCAGAGTTCCCTCTAGTGCATATTTAGGGAACTACATGGAACTGACTACCGTGGTGGCGCAAATCAAGTTCTGTGCAAAAGCTTTTAGTACATGCCGCCCACTTGTGACTGTTTAACGTGCACCTAATTCAAAGCTGGTGGTTTTTAATACATTTAGCCTCACCTGACCTGCAGCCGCCATTTTCAGAAACTACACCCACGTCCTCGACCAGTTTAGAACATTAGTCGCTAAGCTATGACGTCGGGTCTGATGGCAAATAGAGAAAAAAACAGTGGCTTACCCTTGAGCAGCATAGCGATGCTGTATTTGTGGTCTCCGAAAGAGAGATATACCCTAGTCAATGGTTGCGCATTGAATTTTGGTAAATATGGTGGGGTGACTGATGTGACTGTGATATTATTGTTCCTTTTATTTCCAAAAGCTAATCAGCATATTTTGCTGTTTACATTGTTTAAACTTGCATTTTCAACAATATTTTATAATGCCAATACCTATAGTGTTGGGGATGCGCAAGGTTTTTTTTTCTTAATAGAAGTCTTCTGGCAAGAACTGCCAACATTAGGTAAAATAGCAAATACCGGGAATATGCCGATATCATTCTTGCCTCTTACGAGCAGCCTGACCTAGAAAACACTTTTCTCATGTGTGCAGTTCGCTCTCTCTTCTTTAGGGTTCACCGACAGTTATTCTAGGTTGACAGTGGCGCAAGTTACTAATTTTAAGAACCATTAACGTACTCCTCCGGCTTCGAGTACGTAGCAGGTGGTGGTGTTCAATCCTCGGCAGGTGGCCCAAGGAAGCGGGTCCTGGATGCTTCCCAGCAGGTACAGCACCGCGTGGGACATTGTCAGTGCACTGCTCACCGTGCTCGCCACGTAGAAGTAGGCCGCCGTGTAGCTTAGACCTGCGAACCGCGAGCACAGATGCTTGCTGCAGATTGCACGATATGCCTAGGCGCTTGGCTCGAAATACACGAAAAATTATAGCGGTGCGAGCCTTCTTAGAAAGAAAGATAAAAAAATTCCAGGACAAAGCCTTAGCTTCAGCAACAGCCGTCGTAACAGCGAGTTGTCAACTACGAAGAAAACGTCCAAAGGGATAGTTGCACGCTGGAGAAAAATTGTAGTGACAATGACGATTGTGATAAACAATACTCGTACCACACAGTGGCACTTAGAAACTGATGACAGCAACATGGAACAAAGGAAATGGTGAGCCAATTACGGGTGATAATAACGATAGGACAAACTACAATATCATTACAGCAGCAATGGTGTACCATGCCGCTGACATGACGACGGGTGAATTACGGCATAGCGTGTCATGTTGGACAAGAATGTCCCGGCATTTCTGTCTTCCTGTGCTGTCATTGGTCGTTTTGGTATGGGCCGAGACAACATATCTACCGAACAAAAGCCTCAAGGCTCAAGTGGCATTTAGTTTCGTGACTTGGCAGCTAGGCGAAGAACGTAAAAATAGGCAGATTTTCGTGCCGGTAAACGGCACGAAAATGGTTTCACTCACTGCGATTCAGGACAGCACACTGAGATGAGAATTCTCTGCTAAATCTCACTATGAGAAATGAAGTTCAGTGCTAAGCCTGCTAAGTATGCAAGCCCCGGGCACCCACTTGGCTGACTGAATAATCTATTGTAAAGAAGATAGCGCCGCTATCGCCAGGGCGCGCACTAGGCTAGGTGGAGGAATAGAACGACGAGGTCAGATGAAGAACAGCCGGCCTGCTGAGAAGGCGTTGTCTCTTTGTCTCAGTCATTACATAATTTAAATATCTGGCACTGAAAATTAAGTAAAAATGGCGAAGCTTGCATATTACTACTTGAAGATTATTTTTGGTCACGAAACATAGAGGTCACACTGTGGAGAAGCTAGATATGGTACGGAAAGCTGGCGCGCCACGGCACCACCGTTTGCTTGGGGGAAGTGCCACCATCACCGAAAGGCCACCCTCCTCCAGGTTGGTTTGGGACGGACCACAGATGCGACCAGCACAAGCTGAATGTTCGAACAAGAACTCTATATCTGCGATTGCTTTTTGTATAAGAGCCGTGTTGAAGTGTTGCAGTTGAAGCGAAATGTTCGTTTACGAGGCCGTTTGGGTTCTGTGTAGCCAGGTGCTGTTTTGATTACAAGGACATTACACAAAGAGTATCGCTGTTTTGCATGCCAAGTGTTCGTGGGCTATTAGACGGCTGAAAGTGATTCCTGACGTGGAGAAAAGAGGAGAACTTCAGCATAGATTCGAAGTAAGTGCGTGGGCATGCGAACTAAGCCCTTTGAACCATCGAACATCATTCATGCAGACGATTTCACGATATACGGTGATGCCGTATCAATGCCGAGAGACAGCCGTGCCTCACTCCTAACCCCATTACTGGTGTGTTCAAGGGCTTGCCACTTCACTTTACGAATGGGTTGTGCCGATCACGCACACTTTGTAGATCACTAAAACCACTCAAATGACCTCGAGAACCTTTGTGCGCAAGAGGGTTTGAAGCCGCAACAAACGGTCTTTTAGCTACTTAAAATGTTTTTCGTCAGCACTCTTTTATGATGTCTTGTGAGATGTACACTACCCCAGTGCTAAGTGAAGACAAAAATGAGCCATTACTTCCGATAATCACTTGCATGAATTCATTAATTCAAACAAAGATTGCGATTACAACCTCCTTAAGCGTCTTTGTTCGTGAAGGAAGTACGGCACAGAATGCAAATGTGTGCTAATCCTCGTCACCCTACGTGAAAGAGATACAGATTAAGAAGTGAAATGTTTATTCAGGGGGACTTATTCGTCTACGGGGGTTTCATCGGGGATATAAAAAAATAAAAATTGCGTTAGGAAACTGTGTCGCACAACTAGACTGATGCACACGAAAACCAGCAAAGCTATTGAGGCGTGAAAATGACAAGAGTTTCCATCAGGCAAGTGTTTTATTAACGGTAAAGATTTGCTGATGTATCCGCCCGAAATAGATGACCGGCAAATACAAGTTCACATCCTGGAACATTTCGCGTTACAAAAAATAAGGCCGTAACACTGCTGCATCAAAATGCGTGCAATCGGAAACACGGGAAATAACAGTACACGACTTTAAGGTTATGCGGTCATGCATTTAATGGTAACGCCATTGATGTGCCATTCTCTCTACAGCGCATCATCATGCCTCAAAGTCCTTTTTTTCAATTTGAGACCTGTTGTTGGGCCACATAAAAACAACATTTCGCAGTAACTCATGGTTTATGTGTGTCGTCTACCAGCACACCAAGCCGCTAGCGGAATCTGTGTACGTGTATATTCTGTGTGCGTGTTTTATTCAGTAACAAAATATTCTGAATAGTTCAAAATTTAGTTTGAATAGTGGCTACGACATTAAATACTGTAAACATTGATTAAAATAAAATACTATAAACATTGATTGAAATGATAGGGATATGTGGCATGATGTACCAGAAGAGAAGAAAAAAAAAACAAACAAAATACCTGCGAACGCGGGGGCGCACTCGAGCATTCCTCGGTTTCCGGCATGCGTGAACTGTCCCAGAATGGCCTCCATGTGAAGCAGGGGGACAGCCAGCAGGCTCATCACGGTCGCGTACATCACCAGGAACGAACCTAAGCGGGAGGAACACGTTTGGAGTGCCTTTCGGCTCAATATACGACTCGCACCAACAGGAAACCTCCGTGCACCGATACCATAACCAAAGTTGCATTGCGTAGACGCAATATTTATCGGTGTTTTGAAGTTTGGAAAGCAGATCATGATGAAGGACGGCGTTGTGGAGGGCTTCAGAACTTCGACTATGCGGCGCTCAGTAACGTAAACCTAAACCTAATTACATGGGCCCTAGTATTCCACCAACATAGAAATGTGGCTGCTGTCGGCGAAATTTCATCCCGCTTTCTTCGAGTATGCATCTTGAATATGAGCGTGAAAGGACACTGCATGACACCAATGCGCCAGTGTGTTTTTACTTTCTTCCCTTCATCCTTGTCATCTTGCGCTCCCATACAAGAAGCATGACTGACTATTAATCCCGAATTGCTATCCTCCCGAATGCAGTCAAAAACCACGGCCACCCAAACCCCACGGCGGGCCGTATTTTGAAGACATAGATGTGCACACTGAAACGTCACCTTAAATGCTGGCGCACTTCTATATTATAAGTTCAAGCGCAACTAATAATAAATGCGCAATGAAAAAAGGTCAAGACAAGGTGCATGTCCACTGTACAATCCGAGATATGGGTTTCTTGCTAACAGCATTCCGCCCTTGCGCCGGGAGTATCCTCACGCTTATTAGAATAAGCGTGAGTATACTCACGAGCACGCCAACTGTCATTCGCATGTACATTGTCCTTACCTCGACCGCGCCTGTAGATGGCGTATGGGAACCAGTTCAGGTTCGTCAGCCCCGCCGTGCACAGGTAGGCCGTGGCGTAGAAGTGCAGGCGGCTGCGCCAGTAGTACGGCGGTCTGGTCGGCCGCTTGCTGTCCGTGGACATTGGGGTTCAGGTTACGTGGATTTCCAAGCAGCGAAAATAGGTGCGCCGGAGAAATTCTCGAGGACTGCCGCAGATCACGAGTGTGTGCTCTTCTTTCTTTTCTTCTTCTGCCGTTTCTGGAAGGTGATGATGATGGTAAGATCTATATTATGGCTCATACTCACTCAGGAAGATCGGTCAATAATTGATTATAGGAACTTGTGAGATCATTTAAGTATTGGATATTGATAACGAAAAGAAAACAACGAACGTCAAACGAAAAGATCACTACAATTTTTCTCACCCCTTCAGACCAGATTGCCCCGCCGCGGTGGTCTAGTGGCTAAGGTATTCGATTGTTGACCCGCAGGTCACGGGCTCAAATCCCAGCGGCGGCGGCTGCATTTCTGATGGAGGGGGAAATGTTGTAGGCCCATGTGCTCAGATTTTGGAGCACGTTAAAGAACCCCAGGTGGTCAAAATTTCTGGAACCCTCCACTACGGCGTCTCTCATAAGCATATGGTGGCTTTGGGACGTTAAATCCCACATATCAATCATCATCAGCTCAGGTAGTATAGTGGTCATCTCGAGGAAAAAAAAGAATGAGCTACGGACAAAAAACTTTTTAAAATGAAATCATCGTAAAATAATGAGGCCTAAACTTGTAGGAACCTAACATCTCAGTCGTTTCGTTTCGTGAAATGATCAAAAGGGCTCTTGTGGCTGAAGCACAGTGTCGAAGCACCAAATGTTAGTATATTGTCACTTGTGAAGTTCAGCGCCAGGTTAGTGATTGGGATAACAAGAAATATTTTTTATTAATCTGCATCGGCGACATTTAAAAAGTTGTGTTCTATTGTTTCCATTCAAAAAACAAAAGTAACATAGAGGTGACATCACAATATCCGCCCTGTGTGAATATAAATTTAAAGGGGGACACGCCATCAGAATCTACTTAGTATGGCTTCTAACATTCAAGCAGGACACCACTGAATCTTCGACGGAAATTTTAACCGACTAAACTCTGTCTATGATGTTATTGATTTCAAGGCATCTGCACAAAGCGCAAACCTTCGGTTGCAAAGACATGATGCAAAGACATTGTATTCCCACGAACTTTGGCTGCAGTCGATTTCATTGTCTCTAAACACCAGTAAAAGGGCTCTTCTGGTGTTTCCACCAGCAAATTATATTCCGATTTCTGTACTATATAAGCAGGAACGAATTCCACAAGTAGAGTTAATCAAATATTTGGGCATGATTACTAATGAGAAACTTAGCTGGAGCCATCACATAGAAAATATTGTGGCAAAGGCACAATGAGCTTCAGGCTTATTCCGCAGGTTCAGCAACAGAAATTATGGGCTACGTAGACACCCCTTAGTAATGATATAAAAATATACATGCATACAATTCTAGAATTTTGGTGCATATTATTTTCGAGTGGCCGTGCGTGCGAAACAAAACATTTAGTTATGTTGGAGCGAGAAGCGCTACGTAGGTGTTTCGGACTCCCCAGGTTCGTCGCTAATAATGTAATGTATCAGGAAGTTCTCATGACAACTATTCTCTGCCGATTCCGTACCCTAACTGTAAAAACATTTTTAAAATTTTACAGCTTATCGTCTAGACGATCTGAGTATGCCTTTATTAGTGAACTCGACGGCTTCTACCTCACTCATTGGCCGTGCTTTCGCACTCCCCAGATCATTTTGTACAAATGAAACTGGAAAGCATAAAGGAGCACATCAGATCGGTAATTAAAACTACCACATTAAATCACAATATCACAATAGAATATGATGAAAATTTCCACCCTCAATCTAAGGGCCAATCTTCGAGTTCTTTGAATAACAGGTTAAAAGATTACACAGTTAATGCAGAAACAAAAAAACAAGTTAGCATCAGATGCTCCTGTGAATAACGAAGAGACAGCAGTAAGAATTGCCTCTGATTGCCGCAGGTGGTGATTCTCAGTAAGACTGCCAAACTTCACTCCGGTTTTCGAAGCTGAGCTCTTGGATATTATTTTGGCGCTTCAATAACTGCCTTCAATCGAAGTCAGTGCAATCATCATTACAGATGTCCTTTCGGTGTGTACAGCTCTCACAGCATCAGAACAATAAAGAGCCTTACTGACATTGCGCACATTAGATCCACCTAAACTGAAACGCCTGAAGTTAGTATGGGTTCCAGGCCACTGTTGCACGCAGTTGAATTAAATGGCCAATTCATTAGCCCGAGCTTCGTTTGATGGTCCTCTGATCTTGGTACACAAAGAAATAGAATACATAGTATCGATCAGATATAGAAAATTAGCTACTTATACAGATCTGATCGAAAATATTACTAAATAGACAGACTATCAGCACCTGAGATATCTCTAGAAACCTCAGTGGAGTCAAACTAGGAAGTTAAAAGCTATTTTAACAAAGTTTCGACGCCGTATCCCCCATAGAACTTTTGTTTACACAGAGCTGCACTGTCGAAATTTCCCCTGTGCCAATTCTGCGTAAAACCAGAAACAATTTAGCATTACTTTATATACTTCATATCACGTCGGGGATATCTAATAATTATGAAAATACTTCTAGTTATTCCGCTTTGCACTGTAGATTTAAATTTAACTGCAGATATCATTCTCTGTTTTTGCACTTTCGGCTAGGGACGTTGTTACAGAAAAGTAGTTGATGCAGTATGGAATTTTATTCCAAAACATAAACGCATGCCAATATAACGCCTGCTTAAATATACTCTTGAAACATTCTTGTGATATAATAACTTGATGTAATGTTAATGAATGTTGGACATACATTCGATTTTTATCGGGTGAGGTGGACTCAACTGTCTGGTCTACTGAATAAGTCAGTCTTCCAATACAGTATTAGCTCTCTTATTCTTTTACTGTTTCTTCTTTGTTTTATTATATATTATTTTGAAAGAATGTTTGCTACTTTTTTGTTTCAGTATTTGGCTCACAATCAGTGGATCACATATAGGCTACTACAAGCTTTCATGGCGAATCCCTTAGAGTGAGTATGTGCTACTGCTTACAGGCATCAAAGAAAGAAAGAAGGAACGAAAGAAAGAAAGAAACGAAGGGATACACACACACACAAGGCTAGCGTAAGAACCTCTTTAAGGTACCTGATTTGTTTGACCATGTAAGCGACGTACATACAGATAGAGAGTATGTAATAATTGTGTTATGGTCATTCAAAGATAGCTTCTGGCCCACTAGAACAGTTGTCAAGAGGCCTGCTTCAAGGAAGAGGTGAACTACTGTAGTCCTAATGGAAGAGACAACCAAGTGAATTGAAGTGTGTACCTACGCCTGTGTGTTCATAAACTACTGAAGCATCAGTGGCTATTACAATATTCATTTCTACGTGTGCAAGATAATCGTGCAGCCAGCTATTTTATACCTTGTATGAATGGAATTGAGGCTTGTATCAAATTATATCGGCATCTTCTATCTTACGATCCTGATTTGAAGCATTTGTGGTAGGCACATCTGGGCTTTTCAAATTCATCCTATTTTGTCATTCCTTTTGTACATTAAGTTGTACAAAACTATGGCCAAAGGGGGGAAAATATTGGCAGCATATCCACGGAGTGAATGATGGAGAGTGGGGCGAAGCATTCGTCCGTCCATTCGTCCTTGCTTCCCTGCGTCCATGCGTCCGTCTGTGTAGCCGTCCATGCGTCCATCCGCCCATCCGTGCGTGCGTCTGTTCGTGCGTCCGTCCCTGCGTTCGTCCATGCATCCGCCCCTGCGTCCGTTCATGCGTCCATCCATGCATCTGTCTGTGTGTCCGTTCGTCCATCTATTCAACACTCCAAGTACCACCATCTCACATCTTTTCATCATATATTCTCCATATAGAAGCACCGCCATCCAGCGGACATTCCAAGGACTAAACGAGAGGTGGCACACGCACACTTTCTTACGGCTTGCGCTTCTGGTCTACTTCCCACCTTTAACCACCTCGAGTACATGGTATATACTAGTTCACTGTATTCATGGCGCTGCCGCCCAACGCTCGCTAAACCTTTCTAAAACCAAGGAGGTTACACCCAGCAAGTATAACGTAGCAACCTTTTTCTGTCAGATAGCGCTCACTGTACATGCCAACGGCTGCTAATGGGAAATGAGAGACAAGAGAATTCCGCTTTTACTTTCTTACGGCTTGCGCTTCGTATCTACTTCCCACCTTTAACCACCTCGAGTTCATTTATGGTATATAATAGTTCATTGTATTCATGGCACTGCGCCTCAACGCTCGCTAAACCTTTCTAAAACAAAGGAGCTTACACCCAGCGAGTATAGCGTAGCAACCCTTTTTTGTCAGATAGTGGTCAATGTACATGCCAATGGCTGCTAATGGGGATTGAAGCGTGCGCGTTAACTAAAAGCCGAATGCTCCTGTCTCTTATTTCCCATTAGCAGTCATTGTCATGTACATTGAGCACTATTGTTATTGTTCAACAACCCACAGAAGAAATCTCTCTCCGGCGCCACCTTGAACTCAAAATGTTATACCTGTTACGTGCTACAACGGCTACGAGGGATGAAGGGGTGCCGCTATAAAGAGTTTTGCCCCTAAAACAGGAAACAGAATCATTTCAGGTGCACATTGTCTTACTGAATATCTATAAATTTTTTTAAATGTCTGAACCATTAGCACACGGAAACGACCAGGTAATGTAAGTAAGCGCACGTCCTGATATATAATATTGATAGTTACAAACCTAAGCAGCCCTATGTAAGAAACGAAGAGACCCGGACCCGGTTCTCTGGCTGCATCAAAGGTGAACGGAAAACCTGAAAAAGCCGGCCCCGCGGCTTGTGCTTGTGCCCACCACCCTTTCTTCCTTCGTCATTTGCCACACACTGCCGTGGCCAGAAAATTTGCGCACATTTCAATAAAGCTTTCACTGAGTGTGCCAGGAGATGTTACACAGTGATGGATGGGTTTTGCGAATGACGATGAAGCTTGGGGAGGCGGCGGCTTGTCCT